AGAGTGGTATCCGTAAAACGCATTGCCTTTGTTTTAGTCTGGGCCTCTTTTTCTCTCTTTCTTTCTCCAGTGCAATGTTTACTCTACATCCATCGTCCCTGTTGACAGTGACAGCCAAGCTAATAGGTACTACTGCGTAAGGTCTCTGGATAAGCAGGCATCATCCTCCTCCGCTCTCTTCTGGGCCATTGTTCTCGACCTTGGATCTGGCATCGCACATGCGCTTTTCCATTGTTTTGATGGACGCCTCGTCAGATCAACAAGACGAAACGAAACCATCGTCCACGCTCACACGGAAACCAGTGGGCCAAGGCTTGCGTTTGCAGGCGTGGCGATCCACTAGGACAGACGTTATTCAGGGGCTTGCAGCAAATGCAGCAAGCGTGCGACACCATCGTCTGCAAGGAACCTGTAAAGACGCAGCGACGCTGCAACAAGCCGCAGCAGGAGTCAAGAACCTGTCAGGAACCGATGGGCGGCCGGGCAACAGGCTCGAAAGATGGGCGGCGGACTGACGGCGGCGCCGGACGGGAAAGTCTTGGAAAAAGGGCCCGAGGCATCAGCTAGCAGATCTCCAAGAAAACTACTGCGTACGGTACAAAATACTATGAAAGAGCGCTGGTGTGCAGGTGTGCAGGTCCCGGCAAGGGTCCGCAGGAAAGAGCTGGGATGAACCGTGGCCTGTGTGGGGACTCCCCAATCTGACAATTTCCTTGAAATTAGCAGCCAATCACAGCCGCACTTTGTTTCCCCGACTCTATTCAGAGACCCACGTGACTGCTCCTTTCGACTTTCCAGAACCTGCCCATTTATGCATTTACTCGGACCCCCATTTGTGCATGCACTACGGGTAAACTAAGGGTGGAACATCGTTGCATAATCACACCACTAATTACGGATGCACTTAATTGACTTTCACCCACCTTTTGAGCCGCCAGTCTGGGTCTGATGCATGTCACTGAGGTGGACTTCTAAATCCGTCCATTCTGAGGTGCCCTCCCTGCACTACGCAAACGCACGCCCACACGTGAGACCGCACCACCACTAATTGAGACGCGTGACGCGACCTTCCCGCAGTGGTCAACATCTGCATGACGCTCGCAAGAGGCACAGGAGCCAACTGGAAGCGGTGACGGAACAGGAAGGCAGCAAAAGACGGGAGCACTTCACCTTAGGCATCATCACGGTTCACTGTTGAACTGCCCTTCATCCATCATTCATCCACTGGTGCCTACCATGCTTTTGGCCCCTCGGTGACGTGAACCTAAGACGCTTTCTCTCGGAAGAACAACTCGATCGATTCATCTACAATATCTCAAGTAACTCTCTGACGACTGAAACCACCCTTCGCGGCCATGCTAGACCTACGAAGCCGTCACGATGCCTCTTCCCTTTGTTCTCGTCTGCGATCTCCTGGAGCAGGCTCACAAACAGTGTAAAACCGGCGATAAAAATCTAAAGCAACGTGTATCCAGCTGGTTCACGCTGCACCGCCAACATATCGACGACCCGGGAACAGATGCCTCTGCTCTGCTCTCTACTCTCCTCCCGGATAAGCGCACCGATCGTGTATACTGCATCCAGGCCGACACGCTGGCCAACATCGTTGGTCGCACTTTTGGTCTCGGAACGTCACGTCTCCAAGAATTGCGTCGATACAAAGAGGCCGGTCGCGGCGAGGATCTGGCTGACTGTGTTGAGAGAATCTTCAAGGAAACGGTGAGTTATTAGCCGCGTTACAGATTGGGACTGAGGAGCTTTTCCCAGCTCATGAGTGAGGAAGTAATAAGACGATCTGCCCATGCTGACATCACTGTTAGCCTCCTCCTATCTGCTTCGGAAAAGATGCTGTAACTGTTGAAGAAATAGATTCAACCCTCAACAACCTCGCTGCCTTGTGTAGGTTCAGCTCGCCCGTTGTTCGGGCCTCGCAGCCCTATTCCAGCAGCAACAATCGGCAAGAACTCCTCGGTCACTTATACCTTCGCTTACAGGCGCGAGAGGCCAAATGGCTCACCCGCCTGATACTGAAGAACTTCCAGCCAGTCATGCTGGATCCTTGCCATCTCTATCATTGTTACGACCCCCTACTACCCACGATACTCAGAGTTCAGGACAATTTTGATGCGGCCTTGTCTCTCCTCAGAAAGCTGGGGAAAGAGCCCTCGTTCCGTAATGCCACGGGAAATCAGAAGTGGAGAGATCTAATACAACACCTGACGCCCGTCTTGGGCACCAAGGTTGGAAGACCGTTCTGGCTGAAAGGGAGGAGCATAAAACACTGCATGAAGCTTATCCAAGGCCGCATGAGTTGTGAGAAGAAAATAGACGGCGAATACTGCCAGATTCACATAGATTTGAGCAAGGGGTTCAAATGTATCCAAATCTTCTCCAAGAGTGGCAAGGACAGCACCAAAGACCGCGCTGTGTTACACGGGTGAGTCTTCAACATCACTTTACCACACATTTGCCATTTACTGATGAGAGCAGAGCTATACGCGACTCTCTCAACATTGGGAGAACGAGCTGCAAGCTCTCCAAGGGATGTATCCTTGAGGGCGAGCTCGTCGTCTACAGTGACTTGGTATGCTCCATCGCATCAGCACAATGTCCGAAAACTGACAAGATGAATAGGAGAAGAAGATTCTGCCGTTCCATAAGATACGAAAATACGTTACGAGGTCAGGTAGCTATCTCAACACGGAAGCGGATTCGCAGTAAGTCAACCTTTCCGGGAACATCAGCCCACACCCCATCATTAAGCCATCTCTTTCCTTGCCTGTAATGCTTCTCTCTCCTCTTTTCGCTCGGCGCGTCTAGCTAGCGGGAGCTTTGTCCGCCTAACCAACATGACGGATCCCAGCTAATGTTTCTAGGCGCTACGACCATGAACACTTGATGATTATCTACTTCGACGTTTTACTCATCGATGGGGAATCTCTGCTGGGTGCCAGCCAGAATGAGAGGTTCGAGCGACTGACGAAGTTGATCAACCGCCGAGAGGGTCATGCCGACCTTGTGGAGCGCCAAGTCATTGATCTCAATGATAGACTGGGAGTGCATTATCTCCGACGAGCCTTTGCTGAGTCCATCACTGCCCGGGAGGAGGGCCTGGTGCTGAAGCCAGACGACCCCTATTTCGACTTCAGCGAGAGTCGCCGCTCCTTTGCTGGTTGCCCCGTCAAGCTGAAGAAAGAGTACATCGGAGGTTTTGGTGATGTGGGCGACTTTGCTGTGGTTGCAGCGCGTTACGATGCAGACAAGGCAAAGTGCTACGGCATTCCCAACCTCAAGTGGACACACTTCTACCTCGGTTGCCTCGAGAATAAGGAGGATGTAGAGAGGTGCCAGGCACGGCCTGTGTTCACAGTGGTTCACCAGGTGGAACTCAACGAGATCCTCCTCAAGACCGTCTCGATTTACGGAAACCCGATGCCAGTGTCTTTTGATGACAATGATGCCTTGATCCTTCATCTCGCACCAGGCATCGCTCAACAAAAGATGCACACCGTTGTCTTCACCGAACCGCTGGTCTTTGATGTCCGCTGTTTCTCATTTGATAAGGAGGGAAACACCAACTTCTGGCAGCCGAGGTTCCCTCAGGTGTCCAAGGTACACTTTGACCGATCCTTCATGGACACAATCTCTTTCTCTGAATTGCAGGCCGTGGCTGAAGAAGCAACCACCACTCCGGCCATGGAAGACAGTCAGGAAATGATGGACTGGATTGCTAAACTGGAAAGAGCGGACCCTCGTGGTGTTCCCGTTGATGCTATCAGCCAGTCCACAACGGGCTCTCTCATGACGCCATCTCGCACTTCTTCCGTACGGCCTTCAACCTCGCCAGCGCCGAACTTTTCCGTAAGCCCTGCCAAGCCTCTCCAGCGGTTACCGGCATTGGTAGAAGCCCCAGAGCCAACTCTCATCACTCCTCCAACCTCATCAGCCAAGGCAGCAGAAATGGACTTCATCGCTGAAGACAAGACTGCCAGCGAAGCAGCAAATTCGCCGAGGGCCAGCAAAAGAGGTCCAGAGAGGGAAGACGCTACTCCGCAGAAACGACCGAGGGTTTCTTCCGAATCTGGCACCGCCGGGCGAGAGCTGCCTCCGCCAACCCGTCGACCGCTCGGGGATATCAGTGCCAATCAGATGTCTCTCTCTCCTCAGGCGTCCCAAACACGGCCAGCGACAGCAAAGCACATCGTGGTGGACCAGACAGCGTCTAGTTCAGCCATTGCTGCTTTACATGAGCCGGGCAAAGCGATGGAAGGATCTGTCGCAGAAATACCTCAGCCGCATCGTCAGAGCGTGCCAGGACCTTCGTCTACACGAGCGAAGCCCAAGTGCCAACACGCAGGCGACAATTGTCTCTTTGCAGATACGACGGTCTTACTCGCGCCCTGCATCGCCCAACAACCCTGGGTCACCGAAAATCTTCTCCCTCTTCACGGTATCCACGAATGGACCGCGGATCCGCAAGACTGGATAGCATCCTCCGTCATAACCGCATCAACATCATCATCATCAGCAGCAGCAGCAGCATCCCTTTCATCGACACCCGCATCTACCTCGGCCACGAACCGCCCCAGAAGAAAACGACCCCGAAAAATCTGCTTCGTCGAACACAACCGCAGGGAAGCAACAAAGACCTTGTTGAGATGTCTGAACGATAATCCGGTTTACACGCCGAATGGCAGGCGCGAGTACGTTGAGGTGTACGACTGGCGCCTTTTGGAGGACGTCACGGCGTTGGAAAAGGCGCTCAAGGGGTTAAAGCCGTCCAAGGAGCAGCCGGATCTCAAGCGGAAGTGGTGGGTTGGATTGGCTTAGCAGAGTGTCCTTTTGTTTTTGTTTTTCTCCGGATGTTGACTTTGGGAATGGGGATGATTATGTCTGTACTTTGCATAGCGTGGCCAGGGATACTACACGTCACGGCGTTCGTGGTCGTTTCACGAATGCATACAACCATTGAGAATTTCGGCTTGTCCAATTGTTACAACTCATGCCTTGGTCTCCTCCTCCTTGTACAGTCCCTTATAACTCTCCCTCAGCCTCATGAACAAATGATCATCAGCAGTCATGACCTTGCGCTCCGCGTAGGGATTCGCGTTCGGCGTCCCCTCGGGCGCGACAAACTCCTTCACCCTATCGCTCGGCACGGGATCCAACGCCACGGAGCCCACGGGGTGACAGAAGAAGGCCATGGAGTACCTCGGCCCGGTGTCCGTCTCGCCCTCGGCGCCCTCCCCGCCAAACACGACGCGGTGGACGGTGCTCCGGAACAGGCCGTTGGTCCAGTAGCTGAGGAGGTCGCCGATGTTGATGAGGATGGGAGGCAAGGGGTCGGCTTCGGTGCCGGGCGGCGTGACGGGGACGGGGGCCCAGGTGTTCTCGCGGGTGAGGATCTCGAGCCCCGCCTGGCCGCGGAGGCGGAAGAGAAGGGTGACGGAGCCGTAGTCGGAGTGGGCTCCGGCGCGGACGTCGTCTGGGTTGGAGGAGGTGGCTGAGGTGGGCGGATAGTAGAGCATGCGGAGGATTGTGCCCGAGTCGCCCTTTGAGCGGAGGTGGGCGGACGAGAAGAAGTCTGTGGGGTTGACCTGATGACAAGTTTAGTGAACTGCTCGTGGAGGGTAGCTGGAGGAAAGAGCGAGGAGAAAATACATCGAGGCCAATGCCGAGAAGCTCGAGGAGTTCCAGGCAGAGGGTATGGCACTGATCTCTGAACGAGTTCAGGAAGGGCTCATCTGATTGAATGATGGGAGGCAGAGGTTGCTGGGCCTTGCCATCCTTGAACTCGCCAAAGTTGAAGGCCCTGAATGGTGTGTAAGTCAAAATGTAGAGATGCTCAAAGACCCTTTGACCTTACTCCTTGTAATCACCAACCTATGAAAAAGTCAACATCTGCATATTCCCTAGATTTGGGTAGGATCAGCCATACCTTTTGGTTCTTGGGGTCGAGAGTCTCAGAGTGCATACCAGACCAGCCGCGGTTGTTCTTCTGGATGGTGCAGGCGGCCTTCTCCTCGACCGGTGCCTTGAATAACTTTTTGGACTGTTTACTGTTGTCATTTGAATTGCTCTGGAAAGAGGTTCCATTTCAAGTTGGGCCATACCAGATCAAATGCCGACTCTTGGTCGCTTAGCGCAATGTACTTGCCCGTGTTGCGGATATAAATGAAGCCATGTTCGACGGCGGCATCGACAAGTTGGCGCGCAATGGCGGTCCTGTCGACACCCTCCGCAGCAATGTCAATAATTGGAATATTAGCCTTTGGCGCCATGGTGTATTTGTCTCCGTCTATTTGTGAATTCACGGTGCGGTAGGTCAGACAAAGTACTACGAAAGGGAGGTGGCCGGAGCTGACTTATTAGAATGGAGGGTTGGAGGGGCGAGATTCAACCGAAGTCGCGCGAAGTGGGATGCGATAAGCGATAAGACTGGGATAATGGAGGGGCGGACGGGACCGCTTGGGACCGGGGCAACGACTTGGGTAATGACTATTACGAAGCGTTTGATAGCGACCGAAGGGCGGAGAGGGCCGAGGTAGCGGGATATCCGTGGTCAGATTTGGTATCACGAGAGGTTGACGGGTCCTGAGGTGTCGTGTTGCACTCGTCGGATGTGTAACCTGTCTACTGAGGGGGACAGTGGATGTTCGGGTATTGGAATGGAGAAGGTAATATTCAAGTAGCGAAGCTCAAACTTGACAAGAGCTTGTCAGCTAGCAAACGTTCCCCAACGCCACGGAATCCAACGGTCAGACTAGGCCGACAGAGCGAATAGCATGTAGTCCAAGCTTACAATAGATGAAGTGAACAGAGCCCGTCTACTCGGAGTGTTGATGTTGGTATTGCTCTGCTTGAAGGAACCTCCGCATGCACCAGGGCCAGGTTGTCAATTGAGCAGGGTTCAGGCCGTATAATCGCACTTGCGCCATCGTGTGCTCTTGGTAGATTGCTAGTAGGCTTGGCCACGTGCTTTCGGATGAAGAACAGACAGACGGAGGCTGATACAAACAATTCCTATCATCTAGTCCTTGGATATTCCGTATGAATAGGTAGCCAGCTGCGGGAGGTGAATAAATACTAGTGACCAGTTGTGAAGGCTCAAATTGGGCAACTCCATAGTCGCATGGTAGGGGCCGGGTATGCGAAGATGATGGAAGTACGCGACGGCAAATCCCATGGCAGCTGTAACCTGAAAGCTTGCTGTGCTCCCGAGAAATGTCATTTGAAGATGTTTGTCGGGGGGCAGACATGCAAGGGGCCGGCGAAGAAGAGGGATCAAGACATGGCTGCATCGCACATCCCTGACACAGAGGACAGGCGAATATAAAGAGCGGGGATCGGGGGGCAGCGGGGACGGGAACCGCTGCATGGTCGGTCAATTGATGCTGCCTGTGGCTTGAGCGATGGCTCGTGTTGGCGGGAACTTGGACCGACACCGTGCTGCTGGTAGGAGATGCTTGCTTGACATCGTACCTATAATCGTGAGGTGGTGGGCGCATTTCTCTTGAGGCTTAGGTTGTCAAATTAATTAAGAGAACCTCTGTATATGCATAGTGCAGCCGATGATTGTTGTTGCACTACCATATCTTATGTAACCCTAAGGTAGATAGGTAAGATGCAAAATGGACACAGGCGTCTAAATATGTAACCGGAAGGAAAGGCAATGCGTTGTAGGCGTAGACAGAAGGGAAACTAGCACCTTCAAACTGGAAACATCGTGGGAGGAAATCACCTCAGGGAGACAGACAGTCGTGGAAGCAGCAAGCCACATGCACCGCCACAAACACCACCCACATCTTTTTCCCTTCCATAGGTTCCTTCCACCTCTCACACACGCTAACCCTACAACTTCCCTAGCGCCTCGAAACCCAAGGGTTGCCAACTTGCTCCCCCTGTACAGCGGTGCGGTACCTCGCACCTGCGTTCCTGAACCCCCAAACTTTCCAATTACCTCCCCTCCGCCAGCGCCAGCGTTCTTTTCCAAAAGCTCCCCTCTTCTTTTGAGACACGCTTGTCAGTGTCATTGGCCCTGCAGACGGCCGTTCCCTTTTTCATGACAAGCTCAGCCATTCCTTTGCAAGTTATTCCGACTTCTTCTACAAAGCGCCCAGTCTCTTTGCTTCCGCTCCCCTGAGTGGTCTCGCGACCCAAGCTCCACCCGCTTCCCACCTCCAAACGGCTTGTTGTCAACTCGAGCTGACGAGCTCCTCGCCGTTGCGCAAGGCCCGACAAGATGCCTTGTGAGTCTTCCTCCTCTCTCTCGCCTCTCCGAAATCCCAACCCCGCGATGCGCTGGTCCTCTGCTCTGCTCTCCGATCTCTTTCTTCCCGATCCTCGCCTCGCCGTCACATGTCTTCAAGGCTACCTGCGTCATACCCGCTTCCTGCGCCCCAAAACATCCGATTCCGCCGTACCTGCCTGGAAGCTCTACACACCCACATACGTCGTAGCTTCGCCTGTCGAGAAGCATCAAGACTCTGCCTGAGCATTGGCATCGAACCTTCCGAGCTACACCCGTCAAAAAGAAGGCTATTTCGGCTTTCTGGGAACAGCACACCTCACCACACCAGGAAGGAACGGCGGGCAGGACGATTCCGGCCGGGCACATCAGCCTCTTCTCACTCCTGCGCTTCACAACCGCCGGGCTACGCTCTGCGATTTGTACCATGAGATTTACTGACTCGATATGACAGGTCTTGTGGAGGACGCTTGGATCAATGGCCAGGCAACGTAAGTCGAACAGGGTTTCAACGTTGAGATTCCTTTTAACTAAATCATTTGGGCAGGAGTCACGATGTCTCCGAGCTCGAAGACTGCGCGATAGCCATTGACGCGACATACTACCTCCAACTCTTCCTCGACACCCCTCCTTTCCACGAACCTCTCCTGCCCGCTCTGGGTGGCATGACTGGCATTGAGCACCATCTCCGAGCTGATATCGACCAATGGAAGGCACACAAGATCGTGCCGTTCTTCATCTTTGATGGACAGTCGGTGACCGGCCAAGAGGAGGTCGCCGTTCAGCGAGGCCGAACTGCCAACCAGAAGACGGACGAAGCTTGGAAGCTATACTTCAACAGCCACGCACAGGAAGCTGTCGACGCGTTTGGTGCCAACAGCGGTACGCATCATCGCTGTGATGCCGATGGGCCACACTGACCATGAGACTGCAGGCGCTTTTCGCATCCAGAACCTCTACCCCTTGCTCAAGTCTATCCTGAAGGACAACGACCTGCACTTCCTTGTCCCCCCCTATAATGCCTCCGCTCAGGTAGGTTCGAGCTTGAATAGGACGAGACTTTCGATGCTGACGAGCTATTAGCTCGCCCACTTCGACATGATCGATTCAGACCAATGCGCCGCTGTCATGGGCTCGCAGGAGCTGATCCTGTATCCGATCAAGGACACCCTGATTCGAACGATAGATTGGGAGGCAAAGACCGTCACATCGTTATCCAAAAAGAATCTTGTGCGGTCACTGAACATCAGCGAAGGCATGTTGAGCGACGCTCTGCTCATGACCGGAACCTCCTTCCTACCACCCTTCCCACCACTCCTGGACACTTCACTCAACCCACGCCAGCCTTTCACGATAAACGATGCTGTCAACCTCTTAAGAGCGTCGGAAAAATCTGTTCAATCAGCCTGCAGCTCCTACGGCGACATTCTGAAGTCAAAGGACCCCAAGTGGCTGGACAAGTACAGACAAGCCAAGATGGCCGTCAACCACTTCATCTATATATCCGAAGAAGGCGAGATCAAAGTCAACGACTTTGACCACATCACAAGTGATAATCACGAATACCTTGGTCTTCAGCTTCCCGGAGAATTGTTCCACTATCTCAATACTGGTCTAATTGGCTCTCGCGTCCTCGACTATATAACACATAGTCGAATCGTCGTCACGCCTACGCTGGATGGAGTTGCCTCAGAACAGTATAGAAAACTGGTTACTAGCCAACTTGTTCCTCTCAAGGAGCAGAGCATCGCGCTTCTGATACCGAGACTTCACCGTGGTCTCCAGCACAACGCCATCACCATGAAGGTTTGGTTCGACGACAACTTCTCGTATAAAATCAATAAGTCTCTTCAGCCATCACCATCTCAGCGTGCCGCCACATGGGACGTGAAGGAAAGCTCCTTCAAGACTGTCGCCGAAGGCGTCGATGAACCCCCTGGATCCATCGCTTTCGAGATTTTGGCACTCCTGTTCGATGATTTCGTCAAAGGCACCTTCCCCAAAGAGAAGAAGCGTATTGGAGGCATTGATTCTGTTCAGAATATCACGGCGGTCGCCATCTGGAGATTCCTCCATCTCCGCGGCTACGTCGATGATTCGCACACATTGACGAACTGGGGTAACGCCGTTGCCAGCGCAATCTGGGCGATGAAGGATTCGCTCAAGGACTTGCAGGTACCTGAAGGTCTCAACATATTTGAGGCGATCCTGAATGCGTTCGAGCTCATCAGGCACGATGTGCTCAATTCAGGCCATCGACACGAAGAGCTTAATGGAGCGCCAATGAACGGTACTGACGAAGAGAAGGCGAGCATCCTTCTCATCAGCAGATGTGCCTCCCTATTGAAACTTCGACACGAGTCTAATGGATACACCGGGCCGCTCAACAAGAACCTTCTCCTCTTCCGGTCACTTTCGACTGCTGTGCGTGAGGCGGATCGCGACCTCGTTGAGGCAATTGTGGCGTCCATGTTCCTATACGCACAGTCAAAGAGAGATCGCAACGACTACCTGCAAATCAGCCAGACGTAAGTGTCTTTGTTTGACCTCAATCATTTCAGCCACTAATCGGTCTCACAGTTTGCCCTTCCTCCACAACCCTGACATCGCTCTGGGAATTGCGGTCAAGACACTCATGGACGAGCTTCCCGTCGGTGATATCGAGCTGCGACAAGCCAAAATCGAGGAGTTCCCCATTAGCTTCTTCCCCTACGCTACCAACTTCAAGGAGGATATTCAACTTGCATTTGCCTTTTTCGACGCCATCCACAAGGGCGTACAGACGCTCGACAAGGAGGTTCCGGCGGCTGACAAGGCGGTATGGTCAACAGCGAGCAAGTACCTGGACCAGAGGCGGTTTTAGGGCTGAAGATGTCTGGCCTTGGAGCGTGGCGTTGGCGAACCAAAAGCAGACGAAGGACTGGACAGCATAAGAGACGCCGAGCTGCGACCCCACGAGAGCACTATGCGCTCCCGGGGTGGAATATGAGACATTTGTCAGTCCGTGTATAGCCTCGGGGGTTTGGAGCGTGC